GATGATGTTTCCCATGGATTTAAGTCACTTCTACCAGAACTCTTCCATTTAAGCCTCACTTCTTGTAGTTGGGCAATTGTAGGAGTTAATTCAGCCCCCGAAGCAAGTCTAGGCCCAGGAAAGTACCTGGGCCAGTTATGGGAAGGCTTGCTCAGACTCCTGTGCTACCCACAGGGGCAGCCATATCTGCCATCATCTGCACATAAGCCGAAAGAGAAACCAGCCCAAGCTGGTCTACATAAGGAAGCTGACACCTACCTTCTGTATTTCGGATGCTGTGTGTCCTCCGGACCCTAAGTAAGTCATGGCTAAGGCTGACGTGATACTGAACGGGGAATAGAAGATATTTTCCTTCTCTGATTGTCTGAACTGTTGGAACAGGTCATATGCAAAGCGGGTGTTTGCTTCACTGAGTGAACTCATGGTGACTTTGGGGCGATCAGGAGCTCCTGGAAAAGCATTAGATTTCATTATATAATGACTTGACTGAACAGAAGCTTACAATGTGATGAAATTTCCTGGAAGAATGATTTATATTTAGGTTGTGGAGTCTGGCAACTAACATTTTTCTTTTACTTCTCAAACCTTCTATAATGTACATGCATTAATTTCATAATTAGAAGACTAGCACAATTATTATTTTAAGACTTTTGTGGAAAAGTTGAAAGAACATCTTTATCTGTCCTTTGTAACTGGCTCATTGAGTCTGTAGAAAGGGCTTTATAACAGATGCCAAGCCCATGATTCATGCGGAGAACATCCAGCCAGCTCTGAGGAGGCACCTCTCTGCCTTTCTTCAAGGCTATGGGGCTGTGACTCTCCACAAGTGCTCCTAAGAGGGCGTATATTTACTGGGAAATAAATGAATTAGATAAAGGAGAAACCAGATGAAGAAGATGTTTTAATTTTCCCCTGGAAGAATAGGGAAAATCCAGTCATGCAGAATGAAACACATGCATGACAGAAAACACATATTTGTGCCAATTTTCCAAAATGATTCATGTTGTGAAGTGGGAGAGTGGAAGCACTTACCTGTGTTCCTGGGGGAAGCAGGTGAGCGGGGAGCCTGTGAGCCTGTGAGCCTGTGTGTGGTGAATGGTGAGGTCCTGAATATGTATGTACCTGTCTGGCCCGCCTTTCTATAGATGCTATTTCAAGAAATCATTGTTTGATTTCCCATCCAGACCAACCCTCATCACATGAGCAGAAAATCATGTGTTTGCTACATGAGTAAAGACATGACTATTGTCTAATCACAGTACTTTCTTATCAAAAAACAGACAAAATNGGAAAGAGATCCTTGATTTTTTCTGCAAAAGAAAGAAACACAAGGTCTGTCATGAAAGGTACAAGTGCTTTGTCTGGAAGATGCTTTGAAAATTAAACTGATCATTAGTTATTTACACAAGTCACAACCTTAGGGACTCCATGACCAATAGTCCACAAGGTACAGCTTTCCACATGGCACCAGTCTGATGGAGTCCCCCTGGGAGACACACCTCTTATGATTAATAGGTGTCCATTCAGGTTCTCCGTGAGTGACTCCAGTCATCTCACATCTCACGTTGGATGTCAGCTACTCTTTCAACAAATGCATTTCCTTTCTCCCTGCCACCCTCCCTTCTTTCCGCTGCCTCCTTCCCTCCTTCTCTGGCTTTTCTTTCCTCCATCTTCCCCTCATGTCTTTTTATTTTTTCAAATTTAGCCTCATTACTCAGAGGAAATAGGGCCTGAATATTTTTTAGGACAAATGACATAAACTCTATCATCTGAAACACATGCCCTGTGCTGTTGGCCACCATTTCCTGGGGTGTCTTCTTCTTCATTCTCCACTTTGAGTAGCTGTAGGTTTGGCCTATAATGGGATGAATGGAAGAATGTGGGTCAAAGGATGGAGACTTTGTCAAGCTGTCTGCTGTGATCAGGGAAGAAGCTGTGAGGACGGTGGAATGGGCCAGGCAGCTCCAGGTGTAGGTGGCAAGAAGGGGAGTTTATAGGAGAGTGCTTGTTTCCCAATTAATAAAGGATAAGGGGACCCTTTGTAATATTTTGTCTTAGGAATAATATCCAGAAGTTAAGCCTCTGATTGAAAGTAAAAGATGTGAACCCAAGATGGGGTCTGAGCAGAGAATCAGGGTCCACAAAGATGCTGCCATGCATGAAGATGTGCAAACACAGATCTCAGCTGTGTTGCCACGTAACTGGTGCTGTGATCCCTCTCGGGTTCCCCTTGGCAACCTCCACATTTCCTGGGCTCTTTCCACCATCTGCAGTGCCCTCTGCCACCAGTCTGCCCACCCATCTCACTCCCTCTCCCAGCATCCCATGCTGTGTCAAGCACAGTATTTATGCAGAAACTCACAAGTGGTTCATCATGGGCGAGCCTATCATACTGTACCATTCGTTTGGCTTTCCACCCAGGAATTAATCATCATTCGGCTTTCTTCTGCAGCATTTTCAAAATCGGCAGTTTCCACACTGGCTAGGTAAAACTTCTTAACATTATTTGTGTATTCCTTTGACATGGGGAAGGAGAAAGGCAGAATTAAGAGTAATTTATCAGTAGCTCTGTATTTTCAAATTAAATTATGTTCAATCATGACCAAATACAGCACTTAACATCATCATATTAAACCCACACTTCCCTGGTGAGTTGTCAGGCTCCGGGACACTGCAGTGGACAGAGCTGTGGTGAGGGAGCCTGACACACCCTGAGCTAATGCTCCCTTGGTGGTCAGCCAGGACCATCTGCCTCCCCTCCCTCATTTGCTCCTTGGGGACAGAGGGCACAGGATGCAGATGAAAGGTGTGTGAGATCCGTGAAACCTTACCTGAAGAAACGGATATTTCTTTTCTCCATAGAGCTTGTTGGCAATATTTAGCTCATATTCATCAGTGGGTTTATTTAGTTCAGTCAGAAGCGTTTGAAATAGATGGTGCACCTTTCGCGACTTTTCAGCCTGTAAACATCATAAAGTGAGCTTACTGAATTCACTGTCAACGTAAATACTAAACTATGTACTTAAGTCTGTTAGACCCATACCTAACGTTTGCAGCCCCACAGGTGACTTTTGTTTTTATTCCCTGAAATTTGGTGTATTTCACCTCAACTCTCCTTCCTTTTAATTTCCAGAATATTTTTTCTTCCTTCTCTAAGATCTCCAACGCTTCCTTGTTTGAACATCAGTTTCAGTACCATTCTAACTACTGGGATGTTTTTTTAATTCATTCAAATGGTTAGGTGTAGCCTCCCAGCTAAACTCAAGCTCCTGAAGTCCTAGAGCATTATTTCACTTCTAACAGCCCTCAGTGCTATGAGAACGAGAAACTTGTGTATTTTAATATGCTGTGATGTGAAGCCCTTGGCAGTATTACCTCCTAAGACCCATGGACCGTGATCGAAGGCTCTGCACTCATGATGGCCACACTCCTGAGTAGCAACGTGTGTGTATGGTACACTGCTAAAGGCCTCACACCGGCATCTCTACGACTTCAGTGCAATTCAAGTGGAAACAAGAAAGCTCAGAGAATTAAATCACTTCTCCAAGAAGATGTAATGGCACAGAGCCAATTTTTGAAACAGGGCCTGTCTGAATCCAGAAACTACCACTTGCTAGCTAAGAGTTTTGGACTATTATGGCTCTCAACCATGTATTTCATACAATCATTACCAACATATCATTGGATGTATGCTTATTCCTCTT